TTGCAGTTCAATCTTCATGTGGCGCTTCAACATGCAACAAGCCTTAGTTGAGGACTTCCTGCCTGTGCACTTTGAGCACAGCCACAGAATCTGAGCTACCTGCGAAAGAAGGCGTCGTTGGGCGCTCTGCTGCTTGGGCCTCAAACCACACCAATCGAGTTTGGGGCCCACTGCCCAGTGAGGGGAACGTGAGGAGAACGCAACGAGCGTGAGGATCAGGCTCTGAAGCTTCTTGTTACTACTAGTAAGGCACCTGTTACTAACACCAGTGTGACATAAACATCCCAACACCAAGCTCTCCACAATTCTTGCGGAGGTGAGGAGGAACCTGTGGAGCAGTGTGTGGCACTTGATGGTTTCCATAACTTGGAAGCTTCCTGAACTTTCAGAGCACCTGTTTGAACCCAAAAAGCTTATGTTTTGGCTTTGGCTCCCCTCCATAGAGCCCATAAATCAATAAACTGCGCGACTACATGCCTGCACAGCTGTGGTGCGTGGAGAGCTTTGACCAGGCCTGCAAGAGAGAAGACTATGCCAAAGCAACACATCCCAATGTTCGCCCGCATGTTCTCATCTGGTCGTCTATTTATTGAATTCATCTGCATATGACTATACCCCAAAACAGCACAAATGTTGAAGCCTCTGCGGTACTTGGCAAAATTTAAGATCAGTCAGTTTGTGCTTGAGCTTGGGTTATCACGCAAGAATGTCACGGGCCACCACATCATCTGGGAGCTGCTTCCAAGCCTGGGCTGCGACTACTAGGATAAAAAAACAAAAAATCCCCGCACAAAGAACACACAAAAAGAAGAAAACAACATTAACATAATTTATCAAAACAAGTCTTCCGCCTCCACCTTGGATGGGTGAGTTTCTGCTGGAAGACTTGCGACACACTCGCACTCCACCCTCTCTTTCGCTTTTTTCCGCTTTCCCTTCTCTCCCTGCCACCGTCCTTATTAGAAACAAGAAGCTAGTAGGAACAAGTGCATCGCTTCTAGTAACAAGTGCCTTACTAGTAGTA